ATAACAAAAATACTAAAGAACTTTGGATTATTTACCTAACGAGTTCTTTCCTATTTTCTATATATTTTCACACACCCTCACACACACACACACACACACACACACACACACACACACATATATATATATATATATATATATATATATATATATATATATATATATATATATAAACTTACAAGTCTTGAGTCAACATGTGGTGCGGTTTTCAGACACTTACCAATAGTGCCGCACCAAACTTATTTGTTCATCTACAATCTCGTTTTGGAAGTCATTATTAATGAAAGCCTGCTTAATACTTTTTAGTTCAGTGTAGAAAATCTATTATGTCAAGGAATTAATTTGTGCACTTGCACTCTCAATAATAAGTGTGAATGTCCTAATTACTACGAAATAGCACTTACACAGAATTTAATTTACTGAGCACAAATTAATTCCTGATGAACAAATAAGACGATTTATCAAAAATCTCAACACACGTCAAATAGAACATGGTACTTCCTCAAAGGGCCCTAAATATATCAAACTCTTATATTGTAACCAGATGCATGCTAACTATAAACAGGATGAGAAAATCATAAAAACCTCATTCGTACCAATATATCTCTTATGGATCCCAATAAAAATCAAATTAATCATATTATACAAAATACAATACAACCAATTTAACTATTCGCAATAACTCCTCCCCACCAATTGATGTATTACGTAAAACCGACATTATATATCAATTCAAATGTCTCTTGGGAGAATGTATCTCCGACAGAAAAACAAATATATATGTTGGTTATACGACAACTACATTATCAAGACGTCTCATTCTACACCTGTCTGATCATTCGTCCAGTGCGAGACGTTTACACCAACATTCCTGTACACATTCACAATATAGAAGAATACTTATTGATAAAACAACTATCCTACACCAAGAAAATAACAAATTAAAACTACAGATCATGGGAGCAATCTACATTAAAAATTGAAGCCAACACTGAATAGAATCAGCTACGAATACTGTAATAATGTTCTAAAATGCCTATAAAAAGAACAGTTTTCACGCTTTAATGCGCGCTTGACCATGGCATTCCCACATAAAAGAAAACATTCCATAACGGATAATTTTTTTAACGTTCTAATGAATGCTAAAGCATATCTGTCAATCGTTGCATTTAAACGAAAAAAGAAAACAATCAGTAATGGATAGCTACACATAGTTTTTGCCTTACCAGTTGCACCCCTGATGATGATCTCAGAAAGAGATGGAAAGTCTTTGAGAAATAAAAGTGATTTTCACTGTTACAGTTCATTTCTTGCCTCATTTAATTGTAATACACGGAAAAATATTCGTGAATATGAAAAGATTATGCTAAAAATAAGCAAACATAATGTTTGTAATTTATTTAATCAGACATGCCTAAATTTAATGTTTGCTTATTTTTAGCATAATCATTTATATATATTATAATATATATATATATATATATATATATATATATATATATATATATATAATCCTTTCATTCATATATATATATATATATATATATATATATATATATATATCCTTTCATATATATATATATATATATATATATATATATATATTATAGGGTTATTGTAAAGTAACTTCCTACTTTATGTATGAGGGACTCTCCCGTCTAACTATAATTTTTGCAATACAAGAGAGTCGATCATACATGAAATAGGGAGTTATTTTTCAATCTCCCTGTATATATAATGGCTGCGACTAGATTCTATATATTCATTTATCTTATTCGCGGAGATTACGTCCATTCGCTAGACGGCTTGATTGTAAAAATTGTATTTTTTTGTTTTCCGTCAAATAAATTCAATTTTCCAGTCAAGTCCCCTGACGACTGGATGTAACATTCACGAAGCTCTTATTTTACTATCAATGCTGTCTCTTTATATCGACCACTGGAATTATAAAGACGGCTTACCTTACAAAAGGTTATTTCCCAGAAATCGAATGCTTGATATTTTTCCGAAACAATATTGTCATATATATATATATATATATATTCTTCAACTGGCCTGAATATTCGAGAAATCTTAAGAAAGGAAAATGCGCCCTCCAGCACGATTCGAACCAGTGTCCCCTACTTTGCAGGAGATATGCTCTCGTGGATTATCGGGAACTTCGCTCTTCTCGTAGTCAAAATTTCCAAATTTATTTTCATGCCAGTTTCTGCCATATTAGATTAGTTGATTGTGGAGTGTCATACTAAGAACTCAAAAATGGTTTTCATCTAGAAAGGTTTGTATATTTTCTTTTCTTTCTTTTTTTTATTGCATTTTTATCCCAACTCATCCAAATATACTTCCAGGGAAATTTTTAAATAGATTTTTCATTGTGAAAGGTTTGCCTTATGATGTAAGAGCGATACCCTACTCAGCGTCTATAATGTATATTCATAAACGAAATGATACTATATGTTTGGAGCAGTGAATGCGACGAACCGTTAATAATCGTATGGGCCCGTACATGGGCCCCACTCTGCACATTTTTAGTTTTGGTTACGTCCGTTTTGAAGTGTGTGTTTTCTTACTTGAAAAAATTCCAGATCAATATCTACACTTTATTCGCCACACGATTGTGTGTGTGTGTGTGTGTGTGTGTGTGTGGATCTTGGTGGTGGGGAAAGGCAGCGGTTTGAATAAAAGACTTGGGACTAAAAGAAGTAAACCTAATTGATTAAAATAGTGGGGCAATCACATCACAATATAAGAACACCTCAGGCCTCACTAAACAATCGGATCTTCATAATGAAACTATTTTTATTATTTTATTTACTTTATTTATATCGTTTGGACTGTTGTCCTCATCTTTACTGCCATGTTCACGACGTTTAGCCCGTTGCACGCTCCGACCTTCTTCAGGGGGTATACGTTGGAATCTCCAACCGAACACTTAATTCAGTCCATTGGGGTAGAGGGTTCTAGTTCCACGTGCCAGACACCCGCCTTTTTGTGTTTGGATATCTCAGTATGAGTTAATTAATTCCCTTTAGTAACTGAACTCTCCAAGTTCCCTCTGCTGTGGTCAGGTATTGAACTCACAACTTTTTGGGTCGTCACTTTTTGGATTACGCTTTTATCCACTATTTTATCTACTGTTAATTATAATTAGTTTGAATATAATTGTTTATTGAAGGCGGATCTTGCACAATAACAGGAGGGAATAACTTATTTAAATTATTAGTTGTTTTTTCTTAGGTTTTCTTTGAATTCTTTCTTCGTCACTGTAATTATCAACACTTTACGTACGTTTCTCAGGTTAGTTTAGTCAACATTCTTATTCAAGTTGTATTCTTCACCCAGGACAGCTAACCAGGTAAACAGTAAATAATCCTTTTTGTAAACTTTGTGTGGTTCTGCAGGAGGATGTTGAGGATAACATGGACTGACAATGTGAGCAACGACGAAATTTTAGAGAAAAAGGAAACTTTTATTTAACATCAGAAAGAGACAGTTGAAATTTCTAGCGCGCATAATGAAGAAAGAGTGTTTGGTTAATTTTGTCTTTTTGCTATCTCTCCTAAATCTTGTTGCGCCATATCTTTACTCAAGCTCGCTAGGTAGGTGATGCGTTGTTTTACTCTGTCCCTCTTTTAGATTTAGGAGTGATAGCAAAAAGAGAAAATTTATTAAGATAGGATAGAAAATTGTGGAGACATGGTCACCAACGTCCAGAAAGGACACGATATATAGAATAATAAGAATTAAGTAATAAAAATAAGAAAAAGGTTTCTTTTATCTTTGCCGTAGATGTCATGGCAAAGTGGGTTTTTTTTTATGGACGGACCCCTATCATCAAAGTAGAATTGTTTTTAAGACAAAAAAAACTGTTCTCAATTCACACGATCTTTCTATGACGTATTTCTCCATTACCATTTGGTCTGTATTGATGAATCGATTTTTCTTTTAGGCATTCAATAAGAGAGTCTAGCTTGGCTGGAGTTAGATTTCAAGTGAAAAAATGTGAATTAAAACAAACGTCGTGTTTGTATGTGATTATCTGGAATTTACATCTATTCCATAATCATTGCTAACCTGTTAAAATAACCACAAGATTGTATTAGATTACCGTATATGAAAGTAAATAAAACCTCATTTTTTTGGGGGGGGGATCTTATAAATTCTTTGATTCGTTATAAATATGCAAAAATAAACTTGTTTTAAAGTAGGACAATTAAGAAACAAATGAAATTCCCGTAGCTTTCAATGAAAATTCCAGTCATTTATTCTTTAAATATTTATTTATAAAAATAGACAATATATGGGACAAAGCCTAAAAATAAAGAGATACAATCATTGACCCAAATATTGTTCCTAGTACCAAAACTTGACATCTTTACACTCAGTAAAGGGCTGGCCCACCTGAGTACCGGGAAATTTCTTGGTAGGACTCAAAGTGATGGTCAATCATTTAGAAATAACCGAAAAAAGTAAAAACTAAAAAAAACTAAAAAAAAAAACCTAATGCGTAGATGCCGGCAGATTTAAATAAGGCTTTTTTTACGTTATTTTTTATTTTAATTATACTTTGAAAACAATTTTAAATTTTGCTTTGTAAATTACTCAGATTAGTTCGTCTATGATTAAGATTTTCATTTTTATTATAAAATTATTAAAATTTTCTAGTATTTGTATTATGCATGTATTAACATAAATAAAACAATATTGAATAAACATTTTATTTCTCTAAAACTTTTACTTTTATTTGATTCCTTTGACTACGTTTTGGGATTAAGTGGGTCCTTTTTGTCTGGGCCCTTTTACAAGTTCTCCCCGGTAGAAATTTTCGACTCAGTCCGCCACTGTTTACACTTTCAGTCGTACTACAGACACCATAACATCAGGATTTCTTTATGCAGTGCTTCTAGATAGCTTATTCTTAATATTCCTTACTGAAGTGTCGGAGTTTATTTAGCATTAATTACAATGCTTAAATTCTTCTTCTTCTGTATCATGGCAGGTTACGGCCATATCACATTGAAACACCGGTTCCCGTACGATCACCGCAGTTAAGCAACGTCGAGCCTGGTCAGTACCCAGATGTGTAACCGCTTGAAAACACCAAGTTCTTTAAGTTTAGATCTGCAGCTGGTGTAATAGATAATGGCTGGGAATTGTTAATCGGAGAACAGTTCCAATTCTCGTAGGGTTTCGTTATATCCACATACGCTCAAATCCAAAAGTATGAATCCACCTCTTCTCCTCCAGCTATGGGTTAATTAGTAAGACTTATATCACTAAACAATTGTTATCTCGAAAAAAAAATCTTATAATCTGAAAATATTTCCTGGATTTAAATAACCTGCAAAGAAAACAAATCAATCTATCAATCAAATGGTGGGGTTTCTATAGCCTCAATTAGCGTTTAAATTCTTCTCCTTCTGTAGAACGTACTCTTACTTTCGATAAAAAAATTCTTTTTATTACTATGGAGGAATAGCTTACAGCTCGTTTTCTATAATGTCATAAAGGTGGGTGATCATGGCTCTCCACAACTTCGTACCTTTCATAGTTCAAGGCAAAACTCTCCCACTCCCAAAAAAAAAAAATATTAGGCAAGTTACTTGTCGTTTACCTTTCCCCCTCTTGCCTTCAATATGTCCTGTGAGTGTCAAATTTTCTAAGCCTGCTTTCTTCATAAGTGTTTTTTTTTATTTCTATTTCCCTTAAAATTTCCTCGTTGCTTACATGCTCCGTCCATGATATTCTCAGTATCCTTCTGTAGAACCACACCTCTATAACCTCAAGTTCCCTCTTACTCTGTCAGCTATTTAAGAAATTGATTTTAACCCACATAATTTTCATATAGGAGCAATAGTTTGCATTCCATCATTGGTTTAGCCTCGAAGCTGATATCTTTGCTTTTCCCACCGGACAGAGTTCAAACGTAATTCAAAGCGAGTACTTCATAAACTTTTTTTTTTTTTTAAATCTCTTTCTCCCCAACTTAGATTTGTGTAACCCAATCTGTCTAATTCCGTTCCTTTCCCTTCACCACACACACAAAATATTGGCCATTTATTGGGCGCTAGTGGGAATTAGTCACACTTCCGCAATCCATTTTTTATTTCTGGTTTCAATAATGGAATTTCAGATCTTGCACTGCATAAGTCTTACAAATATTGTGGTGATTCGAGGAAAAATAAAAGAATCTGTAATAAGAGAGGGTACATTTGATTAAGACTAGGAGGCTTATAAATAAATATATATATATATATATATATATATATATATATATATATATAGAGAGAGAGAGAGAGAGAGAGAGAGATAGTAGTGATAGGATAATATTAATCGGAAATATCGGAACTTTTGGGAGTATCGGAATCAGCATTGGAATCGAAGAATTTTTAACGTAATTTCGGCTTCCAAAAACGATTCTTTGGATTTTGTTTTGTGTTTAAAACTTAATTTTCCATTCCTGGTACTAATTATAAAAAGATATAATATTTATTGATTTTAAACAATCAGTAATTTCATAAAATACATCTATTGGATGCTTTAGTACACATCATCAGTGATGTTTCTAGCCGAGGTTCCTTAGGGGTTTCGGGTCTCTCAACATCATAACTTCTCTCCCAGCCGATACTGATCGGGTATCGACTTGTGTATCTTCCGTTAGCTACAATTTTTTCTATCTTCCTGACTACAGACCAATGGACTCCTCTTGGCAATTTATTGTCCAATCCAGGATTACTTCCGGTTCACCAGTGATGTCTGCTTTTCAACTAAAACTAAAATCTATAGATCATAATACACCTGAGTATGATGTAAATTTATTTTATTTGTGTAAATAAAAAAAAATTGAAATGTGTAAGTTCGAACTCAGTTCTCGAACTTTCCATAAAGTTCGTTAGCTTAAAATCTGCTTCAGTTCAAAATAAAAAATTTTATTTTTAATTTCTTCTTAAATATTGTTAATTCACCCATTTAATTTTATAAATTATTAATTTAATGATTATAATCAAAATGATGGAATATAAACACAAAATGAATTCACGTTGTTGTTCTGCCGGGATTTCTTTTAAGACAATTCTTCTTCTTATTTTTTAATTTATAATTTGTTTGGTGTTTGAAATCCTTTTGGAACTTGGATGATTTTCATGTAAAGGACAAAAGCACTCACTGAAAGTAATGGTATTAGTGATGAGATGATTAATCAGAATCAAGAATCGGAAATATTGGAATTTTGGGGGTATTGGAATCGGTATTGGAATCATAGAATTTTTAACCCAATTTTCGATTGCAAAAATGATTCTTTGAGGTTTGTTTTGTTTAAAAATTAATGATAAAAAGATATAAATATTTATTGATTTTAAACTATCAGTAAAACTAAAATCTATAGATCATAATAACACCTATGTTAAGTATGATGTAAATGTATTTTACTTGTGTAAAAAAAAAAATTAAACGTGCGAGTTTCTACTCAGTTCTCAAACTTTCCATAAAGTTTGCTAGTTTAAAGTCTTTTTCTGTTCAAAATAAAATTTTTATTTTTAATTTCTTTTTAAACATTGTTAATTCACCCATTTAATATTATAAATTACTAATTTAATGATTATAATCAAAATATATAAACACAAAATGAATCCATGTTATTGTTCTGCTGGGCTCTTTGTTAAGACAATTTTTATTATTTTATTTTAATTTATAAAAAAGAAAAAAAGCATTGTCTGCATTTAAAAACCTACAAAAAAAATTTAGAATCTTATTACATAAAATTTTATTTTAAAATTCAAATTTTCAATTATTCTTATGTAGAAATTAAAAATAAAATTCCATATAATTATAATGTCCAGAAAATGATTTATTGATTAAATCTGACAGAATGATTTATTTTTGTTTATGTAACATACTACATAACCAAAACTAAATCTTCTTTTCAAGAGACTTAAAAAAGTAAACATTCTTTTAATGAAACTTAAATTTGTTTCTGTGAAATTCATGTATTTCTTAAAATTTTATAGCTTTCGAAATTAGTATCATAGAGACAGTATAGCAATTTAACATTTCTCATAGTAAAATTCATGTTCTCATAAGAGATAATGCAGCTAATATGGCAACATCAACTGTACAAGCCCAATTTGAGTCATTAGCTTGTTCTATATACACTTTACTGTTGACCATTAATGATGCCATCTTTGCTCAAAGGTATGTGAAGGATATGCTTTCTATTTGTAAACAAATAGCTGAGCACTTCAATCATTCCCCCTGCAGCTTTTGCAAGTTACCAGGAATACCAGAAAAATTTAATTTACTAGATCATAAATTTATTCAGGATGTCCAGACAAGATGGAACAGTCAGTATTACATTATGTCCAGAGTATTTGAACAAAAAAAAATGCTCTTATCTCATATTACAGTGATTATGCAAAACCATATTGTTTAGAATCCAACCAATGGAAGATTTTAAAGAAATGCTGAAAATACTTAAACAATTCATTGATTATACAAATTTATTAAGTAATAGAGAAGCAACTCCCTCTTACATTATACCACACATTAAATTTATTTATCACTTTTTTAAAAGGGGAGGAGAAAAGAGACTTGTTTGATGGATTAGTTTCAAACCTTTCAGCATGGAAAGCTTCTTTTAATGCTAGATTTAGCAGCTACTTGGAAGACAAAAACCTTATTCTAGCAAGATATCTTGATCCCAGGTTTAAGAATGCTTTCCTTAAAAATAACTACAGTGGCCTGTCTAATGACAAGGTTATTGCAGAATGGTTCACTCAAGATATCTCTTCTATAACCAAAGGAAAAACAGACACCTCACCCCAAAGTATCACTAGACATAGATAATGACTCGTCTGATATGTCTAAAGAGAAAAAGGATAATGATAGTAGCTTTAATTTCAGTTTTACAAAGTGTCTTACAGAATTAAAGAAAAAAGCGATGAAGAAAAAAGGGAGCTATTGTGTATGAGAATACAGGATAAAGCAGTCAGTGAAACAAGCAAAGAAATATATTTATTAAAACTTGAAATTGCAAAATATATTGCACTAAAAAACATAAAAAGTGATGACAATATTTTTCAGTGGTGGAATTCAAATAAAAATGAATTTTCCATCATGGTGCTTTTAACCAGGAAATATATATTAGCACCTTCCTCTTCTGTTGAAAGTGAATGGATATTTAATATTGGAGCTAACATTTACTTACCAAAAAGAAATTGGCTGAAAGATGAAACAGGAGAGATAATAACGTTCTTACATTATAATTTAAGAATTTTAGGACTTAAATATGAGTAGCTAGGTACTTAAGTGATTTACTTAAAGAAATTCTCCATATTGTTCTTACGCAATTTTTTAAATAAAAAGGATATATAACATTATTTTATAAATTTTTGTATTCATTTATTTACTAAATGTTTTATTAATAAATGTATTTTGTTCATTAAATTTCCCAAATCAACTGTAGGGTCTGAAATTAATTAATTTTACTCATTGTAGGTATCATAATTTTAGAACAGTATTGGGAATTGTATCAGTAAAATATTGGTATCACATCACTAGTAGTTTACTCACAAATTCAATTTAAACGTGAATTAAGCGAAAACGGGTAAAACTGAAAAATATATTCAAACAAGAAAGGGTTGATAAGTTCAACTCTTCTATGTGCTATGTCAGAACACTGGTGATCATGGCTCTCCACATATTCCTCTAATCAGAAATCAAGAAGAGTATCTGGATTTGTATCGGAATCGGTAAAAATAATGGTATCGTCCAATCATTAATATATATATATATATATATATATATATATATATATATATATTATCCAAAAGGTTCGTCCGCTTATTAACTAAAAAATGTACTTATTAAGTCGAATGAACGTTTTGATCAAACCAATATATATATATATATATATATATATATATATATATATATCCGACAGTATGAAGAAAAATATATACGGAAAAAACAAACAAAAATCCTTATATACTGTTTTATGTCAACGTCTTTGTCATGTTGTATTGATAATGTTATAATTTATGAATATGTCCTGAAGATGGTTTATTAGACCGAAACGTCCGACGTTGACATATTAACATTAAAACAGTATA